TATTCTGCCTGTTCTTTTGCCGCTGCCGCTTCTGCGGCTGCTCTTAGTCTCGCTACGCTCGAAGATGTGGACGCGCGCGACGCGTGGCTGCGACGCGAATCATGAGATCGGACAGACATTGATTCTGACGATTTGTCAGATTTCTGGGCTATCTTTATTTTCTTTATTAATTCTCGTGCATGTCGTAAGGTCGTGTTTTCAGACACCAGAAGGGCTTGACCTTTGTAAACGCCATATTTATCTTGTTTGTACAGGTCGGCTAACTCTAATTGAATCAGGTTAAACTCCTCCGTTGCGGTGACAAGCTCACGCAGCATGTTGCCGGTACAAGATTTTGGATCTAATGCTTCTATAGATCTACAGTCTCATTCAAAATGGTTGGGACACTTTGGGGTCTCCTTGTCCCCTCAATGTTGGTGTACATGATTTGGTGACCGAACCGCGATAAACAACTTTGAGAGGGACGAGGTGAGCACGAGAAGGGACAAAACAGCGTTTGGCTGAAGTGTCCCAACTATTTTTGTCAGAGACTGTAGTCCGCTTTCCGTTTCTCTCAGTTTTACCTTTCTAAAGCTGCTTTTATTTATAGTCTGTAGTCTGCGTTTTGTACCTAGTCCGTGTTTTATACTCAGTCCGGAGTCTGCATTTTACACCTAGTCCGTGGGCGCTTTCCATTTAGGAAAAAAACCCGGAAATTTTGGTGGTAGGAAAAGTGGAATTTCCGATTGGTAAAAAGTTGTTCCATTTGGTCGTAAACCCCGGTACGTGGCGGCGCCCGACCGTGGACCTGGAACTGGTACAAACTACGTGAAACGTAAATGGAACACGACATTCCGTTCGGAAATTCCAACCGGGAAAACGGGACCACCTCTTTAGATTTTCCACTTTTTCTGGGAATTTTCCAGTGGGACGAACCGACGAAACGTGTTCCATTTACCGCTGAACCGGAAATTCCGTAAATTTTGACTAAATGGAAAGCGCCCCGTGTTTAAAAGAGTGTTTTCACTCACGTGGCCAACATCTATGCAAATTTATTGGAACAAAAGAAAGCGTTAGCATAAGAAAAGAGTTCAACTCCCACAGGACTGGTTTGGGACGCCAACATGGCCGCCGTTTCATTGTTTTGGGACACCAATATGGCCGCCATGACGTCATGTGAAAACACTCTATACCCAGTCCGCAGTCCGTGTTTTATACTGACCTATCGTTTCCGCCCGTTTGTAAAACTACAATCTACGAGAAATCTTTGCTATCCTCTAGCCTTTTTCAAGGCTTTTTGGTAATAGAAGATCGGAGATACCTCCTTTGACTTTCCTCATCACTATTTCAGGCTGTAAACGAATTTGCGAAGCAGGAGGTTATGAAAAGGTGGCGTAAGATATTTATCAGGAATGTACCAAATTCACCACCAAAGGTTACCGCTATGGGCACGAAAGATGACGAATACAAATATATTTTTCAAGGTATGTATATTGTACATCTTGTTTTTGCCTATCGTTGGACAGATGTTCCGAGAACTTTTCTGACACTTTTTGTCCTGTCCTTTGTTTCCACAGTTGTTCTCATCGGCGACTCAGATGTTGGCAAGTCAAATCTTCTCGCTCGGTTTACAAGAAACCAGTTTAATTTAGAGTCAAAGTCCACTATCGGAGTAGAATTTGGTACCAGAAGTATACAAGTTGACGGAAAAACCATCACAGCCCAAATATGGGACACTGGTAAGATGACATGGGCATTTTGTTTATCAGTTGCTCGGTTATTTGGGCTTGTAAATTGCTCAATCTTTTGAGCTGGTGTAAGCTTTTAACCATGGAGGGGAAGTGTTAGTTCTTCTTCCCCCGGAAGCTATGTGTTAACCGAGTTTTCTGAAACTCGGAGCCCATAAAACTTAAACAATTCATCAAAGGAAACTCGTAACACAGCGTTACTATTATGCCGTAAGTGTGTTATAAAAAATAATGATCAGGACTTATCACACTCTTCGTTGAATGCTAGAAATTGGCTTCACCACAGGGAAACCAGAATCACAACAGCATACTGGAAGCCAAATTATAAGGATTTGTATGGAAATTTATCTTAAGATCGATAAAACGGTTAAAATGGCATTTATAGGGCAGGAAACAGTAAGAAAACAACAAAGACACAACTTTTTATGACGTATGTATACTTTAATAGCTGTTTTTGTACATTTTAACTATTTTTTGGGCTTCACGAGTGTTAATATTGATCATGCAGTATTAACTTTCGCTTGTTTCACTTTTCACAGCGGGACAAGAAAGATACAGAGCTTTAACAAGGGCGTAAGTTTTCCCGAATATCACGTATGACTTGTCATTGTGTCTAGTCTGTTATTGCGTCTTGTCACGAGCTTCAAAATGTTATTATTGTACCATTTTTCAGTGTGCATTTTGTAACGTCCTGTGTTAATGATAAATAGCTTACGGATTTGTTATAACATGCAAAGTATTCCAAATGCACAATCCATGATGTACACATTTGTTGTAATTTTGTACACATGCATGAATGTTCCAACATCTATAATCATAACAACAAAATTGTCAAATCTGATTGGCTATCAACTGCCCTGATTTCAGCCTTAATTGGACAGTTTAATTGGACAGTACGCGTCATGCCTAAGTAATTGGACAGTACCCACCATCATGCGCGCTTAAATGGCTTTTTTTTTTTCACTGCTAGCAAAACAAAATTTCGAATTTCTTGTTTAATCGGCTCCTTCTTGTGTTTTGATTTAAAAAATAGCCTATTATATTACCAATTTTGTTAAAGTTATGATTATTTGGTAACAGAACTTCGTGTCGTCTAATTCGGTCTGTAATCATACTCGTGATTAAACAAATCGAACTCCCGCTACGTGGTCATCCAATTTTGTTAATCACTCGTATGATTACAGACCGAATTGGACTCCACTCAGTCCTGTTACCATTACTAATAGCATAGATGTCAAACCCCAAATACTTCAACTTTTTACAGTACATGGATGGGGTAGACCTGGACAGCAGCAGGGGCCTTTAACTACTAAAATATCTTTGTATTGGATAGAAAGCCTGCTTGACTTCATTTAAGGACAGGCTAATGGTATAAGCAACATGGCTATTTTTTCGGAATAAAAGTTTAAAAAATTTATTAAACAACAGTGTTCAAAAGCTGGTCAAGACTTCTTGATTTTCACTAGGAAACTGTTTGTACTTACCAAAGATCAAGTCAATGAAAAAACTGTTTGGCTTTTCTGTTTTACAAGGTCTTAATGGTATTGTTGTATCATGGTGCTCCTGAACAACAGAAATAAAATTACTTTTTGTCGCAAATATCATTGCCACCACTGTATGCATATTGTTAAAAGTTAAGTTTGTACTTGCACTAAGTGGAATATCTTTCATAATTGCTGCCGGGCATCAGCCGGCAGCAGACCATATTCTTGATCCATTTGAGATTTTTGGTTCGATGGTTTCATGGTTCCATGGTTCAATCGTCGATGAAGAAACAGCCTGTCAGCAATCTCGTTACCTCAGCCAATCATTGACTTGCTTTCAAGATCTTATGTCTGGCTGTAGCCAATCAGCAGTGCTTTTATAACGAATGAATCTCGCGTGCACAATACAAACTATGCAGTATTCAGGAAAGAGTAACGATCGAGGTGAGTTTTATAGATAATTTGTACTTTTTTGAACCTTTTTTGCCCATGTGCTATGATTAGTTGATTTGAGGAAGCATTCATCAAGGTCATGAAGCCTTCAGTAAGCATTCAAGAGGCCGACAGTGCGCATTAACGTCACTTTAAGCTTTGCTTTTATATTGATCGTATTCGATCAATTCATGGACGCAAACAAATATTGATGACATCTTATTTCATGGAGATCGCATGTATTTACATTCTTTAACAAATGAAATCGTACCTGATACCAACAGTCTTTCAATAAACGAGTTGCCGAAGGTGGCAACCTCACTGAACAATGTTGAGTACTGTTTAAACTACAGTCAATTTTATCAAGGGCGCTCATTTTGCGGCGAAGGGCCTCACAAGAGTCAAGGACTTACTCTACCAAAAGCTTGGATAGACGTTGGTCCATCAGAGAGATCCCTTGGTGTAACTTATGTTGCAATAAGCAGGGTTCAAAAACTTTTCTCTTGTGTTATTGTGCCCATGACTTTTGAAAGATTAGCAGCATTGAAATCTTCTCCAAAAATGCTGTTCAGACTAAAGGAAGAACAAGGCTAGACCAAACCACAAACCACAATAACTTCATTGAACCATTGATTACTTTTATTGTATACTTTTCAATAACGGTATTTCTTTCCTTCACAAACAAGAAAAACATGATATTCACCTTAGCAATACACTTCATTTACCTTAAAATACCTATAAATACCTTTTAACCAAGCATGAGTGCTCTAACACCTAGCATCTAAAACACCTAACATGGTGATAATAACCTTGCAATAATTGAACCTGTTTATATTATTCATAAACATTAACTCTCATTAAAAAGCTTCTTTTAGCTCATCTTGTGTATTTTGTGTACTTTACAGTACAGTCAGCTAGATGGAGCTGACAAATTCTGAAGTAAAACCTGAAGCAACAAGCAGTGAAGGTTAGTAACGTTAAAATAATAATGATACTTATGTTAAAAATAGTTCATGATACAAGCTGTACCCTACAACAATACATTGCTTTAATTATTTGTTAGCAAACACCATTACAACACTCACAGCTGTCCCCTTACTATTAGTATCATTTCTCTGAGCTACCTTCTGAAATACCTTTTACCTTATATCAGATTAAGTGGCCAGCTCCACAATTGTACAAATAGTTCAACATTTCCTCAAACACTCTAACTGTTTGTCTTGCATTATGTCCTAATTAAGCTAGCATTTCTTTCCTTTCAGATAAACAAGACCAAATAGTAGGGTAGATTCACAATGTATCGCCCATAAAAGAGGGTAACTTCTTTGACTTCCAACTTCAATCAAAAGACAAATACATGCAAGGAGTTTGTTTTGCCCCTGCAAAAAGAGAACTCTTCCAGTCAGTAAAAGGTAACCCTGTCAGAATAAAAAGATTCAAGATAGACCAGAGAAGTAATATTGATGATTTGCTAATGAGCAGTAACGTTGAAATACAACGACTTCAAGAAGCCTTATTTCCTAAAGTAGAAATCCCAAGCACCTTTGACCTAGGAATGCTGAAAACCATCGCTGCTCATGGTCAATTAATAACAGTGAAAGCAAAGGTTACTACTCTGCGAACACCTGCATTACTGCAGACAGGCAGTGGTCCCTTGAACATGCTAGAAAGACAGATCGTTGATGCAAAAGGTTACTCTAAGATAATATTCTGGGAACAAGTAAACAAGTAGAAGAAGAAAAGACATACATTTTTGAAAATGTACGAGTCAAGAAAGATAACTTTACTAAGCAACTATACATAAATACTGCCAAAACAGGTACTGTCATAAGGCCAACAGAGCCACATACTGAAGTTTTAGCTTAAGTTCCCAGATGAACTGATGATTACCTGACTACAGCTGTGACAGGATCTGTAGCAGGAGTTACTGCCACATCCATTTATGTTGCTTGTGTTAAGTGTAATAAGAAGATTGACAATGAGGACAACTCAGACATAATAACTTGTAATAATATTTTATTGTAATATGCAGCAGATGAAAGAGCTCTGTCATGCTCAGTATTAAGCTCAAGTATTTTTCCTCACCAAACCAAAAAAGGAAAAGCTCTCCCTTACACTTTTTGACAAAGTCATCACACAGCTGTTTTCCACAAATGCTATGACTGATGTCACCAAAGTTGAGTTAGTTGAGCTATTATTGACCTTAAAAGACATAGTGGTGACATATAACAAGAAAAACAAAGTAGTCACCAAAATTACCCAACCCAACATTTAGTTTACCTCTTACTTTAATTAAGCCCATGTTGAGCTTTGAACTATGATATTAATAATGAATCAACAACAATAACTTTACTAAGCAACTATACATAAATACTGCCAAAACTCAAACTGTCATAAGGCCAACGGAGCCACATACTGAAGTTTTAGCTTTAGCTCCCAGATTAACTGATGATTACCCGAATACAGCTGTGACAGGATCTGTAGCAGGAGTTACTGCCACATCCATAAGAAGATTGACAATGAGGACAACTCAGACATAATAACTTGAAGTAATATTTTATTGTAATATGCAGCAGGTGAAAGAGTTCTGTCCTACTCAGTATTATGTTCAACTATTTTTCCTCACCAAACCAAAAAGGGAAAAGCTCTCCCTTACACTTTTAGACCAAGTAATCACACAGCTGTTTTCCTGAAATGCTATGACTGATGTCACCAAAAGTGAGTTAGTTAAGCTATTATTGAGCTTCAACAACATAGTGGTGACATATAACAAGAACAACAAAGTAGTCACCAAAATTACCCAACCCAACATTTCATTTACTTCTTACTTTAAGCTCTTGTTGAGTTTTGAACCATGATACTAATAATGATACTGAGATTAGATTTGTGAAGTTCTTACACCGCATGAAAGATGAACTTCTCAGTTACATTAACAACATTAAACAACTTGTCACATGGCTTGGTCAGTTCAGTTTTAATATCTCCAACAAGTGTCACTCAGTAAAATTAATAAAAAAATTCATCTCTTCAACTGGTCTACAGTACTGTCTTTGGCCTATTCGCATTGCAACTAACGGCAGCACTTCCTTTCTCAATGAGAACTTCTAGTATTACAACAATCCTGAGTAATTCATTAGCCATTTTGGTACCATGCAAAGAAATGACTGTTGGTCTCGGGAAATTACCTCTGTTTTCATTGGATATTTTTCATTTTGATAGATATATCAGGCGAGCTGTTGGTGCCCTTTTGGTTTATGACATTACAAAGCACTTGACATATAAAAATGCGGAAAGATGGCTGAAGGAACTCAGGGATCATGCTGATAGCAACATTGTGATCATGTTAGTGGGAAACAACAGTGATCTTCGGCATCTGAGGGCTGTTCCCACAGATGAGGCTAGAGCCTTTGCAGGTGTAGTATTTGATAATAATATTATAACAGGGCTGCTTTTCAGTGGGAAGGAGAGGATGCGATAGATTTACTGCATTTTTAAATTTTGGATTTAATAATATTATTTTGTTTCACACAGTGAGACACAGAAGTTGATTATTTAATAGTAATACAGTCGGGAAATCTGAGGTTTGTATCGGCTCTTGCTTTATGCTGGGGTCTATTTAAATCGGGATGATTGACAAATCTTTCCTATTTTATTTTGTTGGTGTCTTTTGACTGTTTTCCCGCAAGTCACTGTACCTAACACTACATACACTATCAAAATCTCATTTTATGCCCCCCTGAAAAAGAATGGAAAATTAAACCTCTATTAAGTGGCCACCTCTGTCACCACCTGTATTAAGTGGGCATCAGGCACTCAATACACTTAGTTTGGCTTCATTTTAAGAATATGACGAAGGAAGATACAGTCCGAGATAGAAAGTGACAACCAATTGTGGAGCAGTAATGCCACTTCCGCTGCAAGTTTGTTTCAAAATAAAGTTATGTTTAACTTCTACTTAACATTATGCTGATTTATGATGAACCTCTATTCAGGCCATCTGATATTACGCGATGGTACGATTCCGTACAATTGACCTCAAATCGCATCCGATCGCACAATTTGAGGAAAATCGCATAATTCGTAAAAAAAATGCTAAATTCAAGTAAAGTAAACAATGAATTCCAACTTTAATGAAACATTTTCCCAATCTTAAGGTTATTTAAAGTGATTTACCACTAAACAAAGCCTTGCAAGACATCTGAAACCTTCAATCGCGGTATCTGGGCAGCCATTTTGATTTAACAGGGCTTCTGATATTTCGCGGGAAAAAAAGCAAAATTTCGCGGGATTTTCAGGCCGATTTCACGGGATTTTCGCAGGGAAAACAAGTCGAAATTCGCAAAAAAATAGGCCGATTTCGCGGGAGAAAAGTCAAAATTTGCAGAAAAATCGGCTGATTTCGCGGGAGTTTAGCGGCAAAAGTCAAATTTCGAAGGATTTTCAGGGGCAAATTCGCGGAAAAATCAGCCGATTTCATGGGAAATTTCGGGGGGAAACTTGGCCAAGAAACAATCAATAAAAAACAACGGATTTCGCTGGGTTTTTTCTGGCAAATTTCGCTAAAATCGATCAATTTTGCGTCGATTTGATCAGCGTTGTTTAACGTTTTTTTAACAGGGATAATTATTTGTTCTTTTAACAACAGTTCGCTCGAGAAATGAGCGAATGCTAGAGCCATTAACATTATGGTTAGTGCCCAGTTTTTCGCAACGTTCATCTAAAAACGCCTGGTAGTTTTGGGACGTTGTTTAGCCGCTGCAGTGACGAAGTTTCAAGATAAATTTGGACGTTTGGGGTGAATAAAACAGGTCTAATAGCCAAGATAAGTATTAAATATGTTTTGCCGACATGTATTCAGAAATATATCTGGCGGATTTCGCGGTATTTCGCGTTTTTTTGGGAATTTCGCGGAATTTCGCGGGTCCGCGACCGCGCGAAATATTAGAAGCCCCGATTTTAGAAACAAGCAGTGTGGTCAGCGGTGTAAGGGCATCATGTAATATTAAGCAGGTGTCCTTTTTTTTCTTTTCCGTGTCAAAATAATCGGACAAATTTAACTGTTTTGTTTTAAAATAGATGTTTTACTATTCCTTGACATTAAAGTGGTTTTTCTCCTTTGAAACCTGGTAAAACAAGGTAAATTAGCCCTGAAAAAATCCCATAATTTACCGCATAATAGTCCTATCTTATCACACAATCTACCCTGAAAATATCGCACTATTTCTGATTTTTTATCACACTCTATCAGATGGCCTGTCTATTGAGCGGCCAACCTCTATTAAGCGGCCACTTATGGATACCCAAGGGTGGCCACTTAATGGAGCTGGTTCAACTGGAACTGTTTTCCTACTTACAATTTCAGATAAAAACGGTCTTTTGTTCACTGAGATATCAGCATTGGACTCGACAAATGTGGAGACAGCATTTAACAACCTCTTAACAGGTTAGCAGTGGACAGTTATCCAGCTTCTTAATGCATACATGTACATGTATACCAGTATTATTTTATGACACTACCCATTTTTTTAAAGTTCAAAAGTGGCCTTGATGTACAACTAGTGCAACTTCAAAAAGAGTTCTGGGCTGTAGATCATTAGTTTTTTGAAATACATGTATTTGTTTTTCTTAAATAAGTTTCGGTCCTAAAGTATCACTAGAAATGAATTACATGCAGTACTCTAATAAATATTATTGCAAATTTCAACCGTAAATTGTCATCTTTTTTGGTGATTATGTTACTGTATCTGTACCAGTTGGCCTCCTCATGATATTGAATTATTTGTTAAAGTACATGTATAGAAAAACTGTCCATATCTACATGTATTTCATATTTTATTTACTTAAAATTAACGTTTTAAACTGTCATTGAACCATGCATTCACATTCATATATTATAATCATGTATTATATATAATTATTAATAATAACACTCTTTTGTTTGGCAGAAATCTACCACATTGTATCCCAAAAGCAAATTCATGACTCGCCTGGTTCAGGTGGAAACCAACCAAGTAGCAATGTCCAGACTATTCATGTAGAACCCACAACAGAGGCTGATCATAAAAAGAAAGTTCAATGTTGTAATGCTTGATTACCTAATTAAGTCTTAGTCTAATGTCAACCAATACATATTGGGCTATAAGCCTTTCAGTACACTGCCAATTGAACCTTTCCAAAAGTCTTGTTTATTTCCCCTTGATAGTATATTAATGTTAAGTCGAATAGTCTATAGAGAGAGACTACAAAAATATTGTTCAATTGTCTCTGAAATTGTCTCTTTTAGGGGAATTTTGTAACAGGTATCTTTTTGGGTGCTTTCTGCTTGCTAAGCCTGATAGGCCTTCCTTGAAATACTATAATCTTCTCTGTGTACTGTATACAAAGTAGCATTTAATCTAATCCTGGGTTAAGTTATCCCTCACAGAATTTCTTTTGGCTCATCAGTCAATCCACTTCAGCCTTGTAGAGCACTGCATGATGAACCAAAGTACTATCTTCTTGGGTGAGATGGGTTAACAAGAGAAGCAATGGCCGGAAATGCTTCTGTGTTCACCGGCTGGGGTAAATTCTAAAGAAGATAGGGTTATTGCTAATTGGCCTTAAAATGATAATTATCGATTCTTGAATGTATCTTAATAATGCATAATTCCAAGTTATCACGGCTTACACAATCACCAAAAATTTCCTCCTAACAGACTGACCAGGGAAAGCAGGTCTAACTTCTACTATAACTGTTCCAGGTTTTTATTTGAAGGATATTCCACCAACTGGGAATCCACTCCTTTGGTTTTGTTTCTTTACCCTGAATGGTAGTCTAGGACTGTGATAATTAGCTCCCTGCTCCTTTTGAAAACAAGTAAATGCAGGTGTACAGTTGATAAGGTATTGTTTATATTTTTTGTAATTTTAGAGAGGAAACCAATGCTGAACAACACACAAAGAATGAAGAAGGTATACTTATAGTTGAACTTTACTTACAGTAGAATATTGATTCCATCATAACTCCAGTAGCCTGCATCGCAGACAGTCTGAATCCTCAATATAGACAGTTGGACTATATCAAGTTCTCTATCTGGGTCTTGAGTGACAGGTCCGGCTGCAATGCATGCCTTGATTCCAGGTGTATCCATATTTATTCTATGTGATCTCACAAAAGAGTAGCGTAAGCTTTTATCAGCAGGATAAGTCTTAACCCTTAATCAAACCCTGATACAGCCAAAACCTGCATATAAGAACAAGTGGATTAAAAACTTTAGGCTGAAGGTTGGCATATATAAGAACCAATTCAGCTTAATAAAAAAAAAATATGTTCATTTTCTTATATAAAGATAAAGGGGATGCCAGAATAAGAAACCAATACAGTAACTAGTATTTTTACTTACAATAGTAATATTATTGTTTTATTTCAAATTTATTTTTAGTGCAAGTAATAAAACATTGTTTGTTAATTAAACCTCTTGTAATATATAATGTATAGTATTTCTGAAAAATTTTTAAGAGCATTTTCAGGCTGATTTCTCACTTGGCACCTGGTTAGAAAAAAACTTGATTAGCTTGAACCCCCAAATCATAGGTCCTCATATGTGGGTGTTATTGTATCAGTATCTTCATTCTCCACCCTGTTCTTCATACATTTCCTATGGTGCAGATGAGGAGAATTTGTTTAGCAATTAAGAACTTTTTACTTGTGATCATTTTCTATTTCCTTGTGGCTTTATGTTGATGGAGCAGTGTTACTATAAGGAGAAATTAAATATTGGTCACTGTAAGGGGTCAAAGGGTTAACATCCATGCAACCCAGGGATTTTCAGTGGGGTCAGAAGTGCTGTTTCTCCTGAACCGTTAGTTAGAGTTGGTAGCAGAGCTGTGACTTAAACATATATCTGCGAAAAGAATGGAACAAGGAATAGTATTTGCCTTTCCCCCGCCAAAACTCTTTAGCTCTAATTTCCAGTCCATAGAAAGTTGTCAAATCAAATGTACTGATAGGGTTTCCCCGTCAATAGCAAAAACCCCTTTACAAGTATTAATTTTCTTTAAGATGAAATTTTTTTAGTGAAAAACACTTTTCGCCATCTGAATAAGCAGTTGTCTAGTTATGGAGGGTAAATGAGAAAGCAGAAGGCTTCAGATAAAAATAATCAAGATATTTGCCTCTTAATCTGCACTAGTCAAAGATAAAGTATGAAAACCAACTGAATGCATAAATTAGTGCATCCGTTCAGTTACCCTGCACTCAGTGATATTAGGGAACTTAAGAACCACGACGAAGTTCACGACGACGACGTCTGTTGACTGGGAATAGACTGGAACGAGAACGTCGGTTTCGGTGGGAAAAAGAAAACTTAAGATGCAGTCGGTCGGTAGTCGACGACGACGACACTAAATGTAAACACAAATGTAAAACTGTGATGTTCGTTCGCAACAAAGTTTTTCGCAATGGCGTCTTTTAAAACAATGCAAGATCTTATTTTTCAGCCGTGCGTCTAATTTCATTGACGATAAAGAATTTTTGTGTTGTCTGACCTTTTCGAGGGGTAAAACACCCGCTTTCCGTACGAAGATTATTCAACCTGAATGAGATGACCGAGTCCGAGTGTCTGTCAGAGTTTAGATTTGGAAAAAGAGACATTCTGATAAGATAGCTGTTTTTCATATAAAGTTTATTTCCTCTATATTAAAGATGATTTGCCTTACCTAAATACGTACAAGTAAATTTATCACTTACGAGTTCGCTCGCTCGGCCTCCACAGCTGTTGTCATTCTTCGAAGTAAAAACAATTCATTAGTCGAATTTTCAATCAACATCGCTTGTTAGGAAAAAAAAGGAACGATACCTGGATTTACGAGGATAAGAAAATGCAAAGGACTTCAAAAATTGCTTAAAACAGTGGATTTATACCTGCTGAAGCTTGTGGATTGCAGGACGACGTGATTCTACTTTGTTTGGCGTCGTCGACGACACCACGACGACGAAATTTACTAGTCGCGCTTGCGCAGTACACTGTAACTCACTTCCGGTCGTCGTCGACAAAGTCGTCGTCGTGGTTCTTAAGTTCCCTATTGCCTCGTGTTTGCTACAACCTCATGAGCGCTCGCAGTGCAATAAGCAGCTGGCTACTATGCAATGTTTGGCCACATTTCTTTTGGGAAAAATAATACATTTTTTCATTTACGTTTACAGTGGTTCCTCCAGAAATTAATCTTCGTGGACCCTTGGCTGTAGAAGCATACAACAAAGCCCTCGCCGAAGGCAAGACTTGCATCAAGAGGGTGCCAGTCATGTTTATTGGACAGGATCGCGCTGGAAAAACCAGCTTAAAAAAATCACTGATGGGAAAGCGTTTCAACTCAGATGAAGGCAGCACTGTAGGAATAGATGTCGACCCTTCACTTTTTGAGATTTCAACTGAAATTTGGAGGACAGGGGAGAGAGATAAGGAAAGAGTCTCTGAAGGAGGTATTTCTTTCGAGCACCATGCAGCTCGACTGGTTGTGAGCAAGCTGATGAAAGAAGAAAGTGTTCTCAAAGAAAGGACTGAAGAGGTGGCGCAGTGTGAAAACATTCCCCTGACTGACACAGTACACTCAAAAGTTCAAGCAGGCGGTGTGTCAAATCAGACAGCTGCAGAAGTGCGTATTGAAAACAGCCATAACAATGGTCCATTCCTTGACATCGTTATAGGACCCCAAAAAAGTGAGACGACAGAAGGTGCAAGAGATTCTCAGAAGATACCTGGAAAAGTAGAAACTGATAAAACCGAGTATGTTAAGGACGAGACACTGCCAATGCTACCTGACGCAACCCAGAATAGGACGGAGGACCCAGCCTCACCAAAGATACCAGAAGAGGTTGAAGGCTTGATTAAAAAGCTTTTGCAGAAAGGCAACAAGGAAACAGATGAAGAGGATGGCATTTATTCTGTACTTTGGGATTTTGGTGGTCAATCAGTGTACTATACAACACATCCACTCTTTCTTACAACAAGAGCAATTTACCTTCTGGTTTACGACCTCAGCCGAAATCCTTATGAAACAGCCAAGCCTATTGTAAAACAGGGATTGTTCATGAAAGTTGAAGACTCCTTCAGCAGAAAAACCAATTTAGACTACCTGGATTTCTGGATGAATTCCGTTGCTTCTCTGGTCTCTCAAGGCGAGGCTGGTCAGACAAATTCTGGTCCTAGATCTGCAATTCTGCCAGACAAACTTCCCCCTGTGTTTCTGGTCTGCACACACGCAGATGGTCCTTACGACGGGAAAGAACCTCTGGCAGCAGCCCTTGAGGTGTTCGGCTCATTACAGTCCAAACCGTACAAAAGCGTCCTGTATGATGATGTGTTTGTCGTGGACAATAGGAAATCTGGCCTTGAATTCGAGTGTTCAGAAGTCACACGCTTGCGTGAAAAATTGCTTGCTGTTGCCAAAGAGCTTCCACAGATGAAAGAAGTTATTCCGATCAAATGGTTGAAATACGAGAAGGCTATTCAAGTCGCTGTTGAAGAGGGGCACAAATGGATTTCTCTGGAAAGAGCTAAACATATTGCTTCTGAAGTGTGCAAAATTTATGATAATCAAGAGTTTGTGACGTTACTGAATTTTTTCCATGACCAGCGGATTTTGATTCATTTTGATGAAAGTGCGGTGTTGAACAATTTGGTTATCTTGGACCCTCAATGGCTCATCGATGTGTTCAAGAAGGTAATAACCGTTCAACCTTATGTCCATGAAAATAAGGAAGTCAAAGAACGGTGGCATAAACTTGAGACGACAGGCATACTAGATGAATCACTTCTACAACGTGTCTGGGGTCCTTTGATAGATCACCAAGACACATTTGAGAGCCTCATTGCGATCATGGAGAAATTCAGCTTACTTTGTCCATGGCCTGTACCAGATTCGTCATGTACCAAGGAGTACCTGGTGCCATCCATGTTGATGTCATACCCGCCGCAGGATATTACAAAGTTGGTTGCTTCTGCCAGAATTCCCTCTCTTTTCCTCAGGTTTAAATCTGGACAAGTTCCTCCTGGTCTGTTTCCCCGACTCATCTTACAGTTTTTTCAGTGGGGCAAAACTGAATTTTGGAGCCCAGTGAACCCCCAGTTGTACCTCAATTTCGCCAGGTTTCACACATTTGGGGACCAAGACTGTTCCGTGGTCCTCCGGTGTCACTCTGGGTCCATTGAAGTTGTTGTTCACCGAGGGAATCTTGTGGTCGAGTCTATGGATTCCTTGCACTCGTCGCCGAATTCTTCTGCAAGTGGCCACTATGATGCATTTGAAGTTGCCTGTGCTCGTGCTGTGTGTAGACAGTTAGGTTTGATGCTCGAGTGCATGCGGAATGAGTTCCATTGGTTAAGGAATATGAAGTATGAGCTAGGTGTCATCTGCCCGGTCTGTTCCCAGGGAGGTGTGGTCAACTACTGTCGTACTCATCACAGGCAGGGATGTGAACGAGAGGAATGTCTGCACTTCTGGTCTGAGTCAGAGTTGAGCAGTGCTGACAGGGTTGTCTGCACTAAGGATGCAGCTGCATTAAATAACAGAGTTGATGCCAATCTGTTTGCACCTTGGCTTGCAGCAGAAGGTAAACAGGTAAGCACGGTGATACAATGACTATTTGAGAGGGGTTCAAGTCACTAAAATCACTTTCCCTTGGTTGGCCGTTGATGGTTACTAAGAAACCTTCTGATTGAGTACGAGGACAACTGGTATTTATGTCTCCTTGATTTGATTGCTAAGGAGGCTTTAGGGGGAAGATTGGCTTGACAAGTGATTATCCTAACCTCAAACTAGTTTTCTCAGCTCTTAATTGTATTTAATTTCTTACCTGCTACCAAATAGGGAGGTCCCTTTGAATTTATTAAGAGTTAGTTTTTAAAGAGTCTGGTTTCGTTTTAACGTGGGAGTGAAAACACAAAAATTTGTTTTAATCGACTTAGTAGATATGAGGCTACCCAGCGCACAGAGGTTTAGAGCATTGACCCTTTCTTAGAGTTAAGCAGAGTATGTAGCAAACTCGGCTGGTGAACGTTACTAACTTTAGGCTCGCTATGATCTGCTTGCTCTGAAGTGAGTATTATGAAGTCGGAATTAAAGCGTCCTTTATGGCCATGACGTCAATTCCCACACTTCTTTTAGTAGCACCTTTGATTTTGATACAATCGAGTGAAGCAAAAGCGTTTCCTCGCTAAAGTGAGGGAACAAGCCGAAAGAGAATTGGAAAAAAGCATGAATAAAATGTTGCCGTTTTGTCTTCCTTGTTATCGTGTTTCGGCTTATTCAGTGGTTTAATCTATTTGCTGGCTCGTGAGACAATCTTAAGGGTCTTCTAACCGGGCAGTCACTACCAGCCCTTGAAAACGAAGTATAACAGTAAACATACCATTAGCCTATCCTCTTTTGATCCAATTATGAAGAAAGTAAGATGCAGGAGAATTTTACTGTATCTTTCTTTTACACAGGATCTTCTTTTAGGAAGATTCTGTGTTTCTTCACAGGAGACAGCGTCCACCAAAAAAGGTGTTTTCGAACTGTTCAAGTAAAATTTGTGCTTGACGTTCTTCTAGTAACTATGCCGCTAATCTACACTCGTTTACTTAGTCGCCCTTATCATTTGAATATGATTACAATTTTGAGTTAAGTAATAACAGTGTATTCATCAACCCTCTCTGTACACTAAATAATTTTTTTTCATTTCCGTGATCATCAAAGTTAGCGATTGATGAACATGATGGAAGACGAAGACTACCTGATAATGGAGGTACGTTTCAACTAATTAACAATGGTTTAACAGTCGCTACCCCATTGGTAGTAGAAATGTCGATACGTGATGCTGATTTCCGTAAAATCTCAGACCTTTCGGTTTTTTTTTTCATACCTTTGCGTTCAAGCTTCTAAACAGAATAATTTGACGAAACTGTAACCTTGCGGCGATTTATTTTAATTTTTTTTTATTATTTATTTCCTCGAGCCGTTATTTGCTGGATTATTTAAAACAGTACTCCCCGTCTCTGAACTGCGCGCAAAAGTAACTTTTAACAAGAACAATTTTATTGTACCAATAGTAAAAAGACAATTAGAATAAGATTATAACAAGCTAACAATAATTTGTGGTACTGGCTGTCTGGAATAACCACGGGGCTAAAAAGACCAGACAGCAATTTTCTTTACAATGAAATAAAACTATCTGAGGTCAGTTCATGACAAGAGGATGATTACATCTTGCACGCCGACCGCTGACCTTTTCAGGATGAACAGCGAAGATACCCTACCCATATGTTAGTTCTTACTCCCTTCTCAGAATCTTTTTTTCTGCTACCACTCCGGAGCTTCTGTATCTCTAACACCGTTTAGTAATGCCTGCCAAGTAGCGCCGATATCCTTGTTCTTGGACCGAATGGATTGTTCCTTACCTTTCATTTTACTTTTTCTTTTAACTGGGCCGCCTAGATGAGCAATTGGTATTTTGCGGGCCAGTTTATTGTAATACCATTTCTAATAAATAAAGTTGAAGTTGAAGCAATTGAAGTTATGGGTGCTGGTAACATATCTTGCAGGAAATGAAAATGCGTGGATTGCTATCCCTGATACGGTAATGGAATCACTGCTGCCGACGTCATGCGGGCCCAGAGAAGTTGTACATCAATTGAAACTGAGTCTTCAGTGGGACCAGGCCTCCTTGGAAGATCCGACGCCTGAGAACAAGAGATTGATTCGTTACTTGGCAACGAAAGCTAAACATTCAAACAGGCTTGACGTGGTCAAGCACTTGAGAGAGATCACACCAGCTGGGACCGCAGGTGAACTGCAAGAGTCGTACATTGTATTATTTCGAGGTCAAATTGTGGCGTAGTTTTAAGAGCACTCTCCTTAGGCCAATTTAGACGGTACTATTTTTGCTTACGACAATCGTGCGCGACTAGCATGCGTCGTTACTTTCGACTATCCACACGGGCACAATTTTCACTTACGACATCCACATGTGTCGTACGAATGTCGTGTGTCTAATTTACACGAACCGATTTGTCCTTAGGTCATGACGATAGTCTTAAGAAAAACACGTGCCGTCAAAATCGGCGCTACCGGTGTAGCCTGGGTTTGCATCTTGGAGTCGACGCCATATTTGGGTCAAGTTTGCTGCTTGTTCTCATTCTTAGTATCCTGGTGCAGGGCTTCAAAAAACTCCTGTCAGGTCGTCTGGGACAAGTAGATTTTTTCTTTGGGTAAATAACGTTTTAACCTCACTTGTCTTGTCTCTGGTAACTAAATCATTAGCTAGGGCAAGCAAGCAATGGTCCTTAGCAAGAAAAATATGAGAGCTACTTGTGCAAAGGACAACAACTCTTGCATTTCCAATCTAGAATGCACACGCGTAATAGAAGTTTCTCAAAACAAATTACAATTATAATTCTAGCTCGACGTTTTGGTGCTCAAGTCGAAAGTAGTAATCTTTTCGTTTTTTCTTTTCTCCTTATTCCCTTCTTCTAGCTATCTGTATTTTCTCTTTCTTGCGATTTTCGAGAATATCGGACCCCAAAACTTGCATTTCAGCCTTACTCCGGTCAAATGGCTGCAATATTGGGCAGCTACGTTTTCAAAAGTGTAGCTAGAATTACATGTTGCTCTTGTCATAGAAAGAAATTTACACTCTATGTAGGCTGGTCTCTGTGATGTTAGGGAACTAGAAGTATTGCTTGTTACTGCTCTATGGATGTAATGTTAATTCATCCAGACTAACTCTTTGTCGGGTGTCAAGACAATATGTAGTGAAGTTTCTTGTCTGAGGAAGGCCACGTTTGCTGACACGAGGTTTTGAATGGTTGATTTTGAACTCGTAGCTGCTAGTTTATTAATTACATCGTCGCAATGTTTTTGCCTTTTGTAGTCGCCGTTTCCGATCACGTTGATTTTTTATTATATTTTTAGGTCCTCTGTTGTCCGATCACCTCGATATTCGGAATATCCCTGTTGGTCAGATGAGAGAAATCACCATTGATTTGAGCGGTTAGTATAGTACACACAGGAAGCCCAGGATTAGTAATGATGACTATAAATCAGGGTCCTTCTTAACCTTTATACCATACCTCTTCAAAATGAGAGCTTGGCCTGTCTGTGACTTTGTCATTCTCGGCCTGGAACAGGTGTATACTGTTGCCACCCCCATTTGTTTTTCCATCATAATCAATAGTGAATGGCCAGCTAGACGAGCTGTTTAACATTTAATTTTGGCTAAGTATGTACAAAATTGAAGCGTAAAACTCGATTACACAAAAAGTGAGCATTCCTTGTGAGGTGTTTTTGACAATTCCCATAGTCTTGAAACGATATACGATTACATCTAAGCATTTTGTAAGAAGGATAAATGCTACCAACACAACGTTTCTGCGACTACCAGTCGTCTTTGCTAAGCTCGATTGTTTTTACAAGTGTTATTGTGGGTCGTCGATTTGACCTTGAAGACTTGTGAAAAACTTTGCGAAAAAATTCTTTTTATCAGACGTTTATAAAATACTGGTAAGTTGAAAAAATAATTCGTTTCGTATTCTTAAGAAAGCAATTTGATTGTTTTTGCCAATCACCGAACTGCTTTGGATCGGTGAAGCGTTGCCCATTCATCTATTTCTATGTAAGAAATTATCGTTATTTTTTTAAATATTGGCAGGTGGAGATCAATGGAAGGACGTTGCTGAAAAACTGGGATTATCCCCAAACGAGATTCGTTTTCTTGACAGAAGAACACTAAACCCATGTGACGCTGCATTGGCGTTCCTTTCTCAGCGGTCTTATCTAAATGTGGGATGTCTGTATGATGTGCTTACTGAGTGTGGGCTGCCTGTGATAGCTGATTTGTTATGAGGCGACTTCATAAACTTACCACGGCTTTCACTGATCCGACACTTTAAATCAATCTTGCCAAGCTAATATGGGCTTCCTGTAAGACGTCACTCAGAGGTGACTCAGAGGTGTTTAAACGGAAAAGAGTAATTTCTGACCCGTTTAAAGCAGACTCTCTGAGGGATAAAACCACTTTATCTGCAATAGCAGTAATAGTAGCTAGTGTTAACTTTATTTTATGTGGTCTAATCCACTTAGCCCATTACAGTATTGTAAGTATCGCTATTTTCCATGTATTGCCACAAAAAAGATATCATATAAAAATCTGAGAATATGTATAGTATTAAAATAAAATAAAACTTTGTACGGTCACAGAAATATTTCCACCACCTATATGAATATATTAAAATTAAAACCTTTTTTAACGACTTTATGGACTACCAGTTGCTTTAAATAACGGCCCGCATGAGAAATATGAAAGTATAAATTGAGGACACTGTTTTTTGCGTTTTCTGCTGCAGACGGTTACTCCTTTTCAATATGCTATCGAGGAACGCAAAGGTCTAGCCGTTTGCTAGACTGCAAAAAAGCCCGTATTTTTGCTCCGACCAAGAATGCGCGAGCGGTCATGAAGAACGAAGGTGAAAATAGGCTCGATCTCCAGCCTTGGGTGTTGATACGCCCGCGATTCTCATGAGGTGCGCGTTACTCTCGCCCCTTAAAAACCGATTTTGAGAAGAAGAAAGGAAAAGGGATGTTTTGCAATCCAGCCGTTTACAGGGCTGAGGAAATACTTTCAATTGTGTGTTTGAGTCTGGCCCCGAGTCCTTTGCCCTGCAGGGGTGGGAGGAACATAATAGGGAGGGAGGGAGATTTACCCTTCTGTACCTTCCCCCTCCCTGCAGTCCAGCACTCTACCGACTGAGATAGGCTGGCCCTACCTTAGGATTGGGTGTCTTATGTGTCAGCTGTTTACCTGGTTTCTTACCCCAGGAATCAATCACATAACACTATAACATCAACGATTGCCTTGACAAATGGATAAAAAAGGATCCCAATTTCATTTTCCTAGCTCCATGGTGGAATAAGCTTAATTTTGGAACGAAATAAAGAAAATTGTCGAAAAAAATTTATGAAGACCCTATTATCCCTTTTCACCCATCGAATTATTTCTTCTAGAAACTTTTCGTTATTCCATTATTCCGGCGCGCTCAAAAAGGGCATTACGTACGATCCGTTCGCCTTATTGCTGGCGCTAGAGCATAACCTGTTCCAAGAGTTCATTGGGGAACTGGAGGACGAAATGGAGCTTTTTCCTTGCGCTGTCCTTCATATCTGAAAGCCTGGGACAGGCCGGTTCACTAACCCAACATTTTGCACTGATTGAGAAGTTAGTATTAACCTTGGGTTAGGGGAGGGTTAGGGGGAGAGAGAAGGATTGGTAGGGAGAGGGGACCGGCGATCAAAGCTCTCCAATTTGAATGACCAGAGAAGCGAGCCGTGAGAAAATCCCCTTTGCTCTCTCCTCTCCTTTCGCAAGCCCCTCGCACGTGACAATTCAAGATCGATATCCACCAAATGGAGCATGTGGAGAGCTTGCTCGCAGGCTCAGAGTCCGCGTCAACGATTGCCGTAACATACAAAGTTGTTCACGCTTTTCTATTTTAGGGTGGGTAGGGTGTACAGTAAGTGAGAAAAGAAGAAGAAACATCTTTATTTTTCCACCAATATTTCCGAACATTTTGGCTTAATTAATGGGAATTACCCACAACGATTTGGCTACGCATCGACTGAAGAACTAAAACAAAAACCTGAATCAAGTATAGTCATTAGTTTAACGCCTAAATTGTGAACTAATAGAAGTATTCAAGGTTTCGGAGTAGGTAAGATCACCATAGAGATAAATAAAATACAAAGAAACCATTTTAACCGGTTAGCTCACTAATGAGCTCAAAGTCACCTTGTTTTGGTGGTGAACTATCTGGTATTTGTCTACTAATAATTCCTTTTATTTTTTAATTTTCCACAACCCCAAAATCCAATATTTTTCCAGTTTTCTATAATTTTAAACATGCCCCCACTCTTTATTCATTAAAAATATTCGGAAAACCATCGAAAACTCTTCACACAATCATGGAACCAATTGTGTGGAATCTTGGTTCGATTTGGAAGGAAAAGGGCAGAAACTGAAACGAAAAACTGTGACAAGACCTTGACCAGAGAATTCCCCCTTTTAAAAGTTGTACATTGGAGGAAGTTCAAGAGTATAGCGCAAACAGAAATTTCCCACGCTGCTTAACACTTCTGAACAATTGGCATAATTACTCCTCCTTAGGCAGCAATTATTGATGCTTCGAATCTGTGCGCTTCAACGTTACATTCACGTCATGTTCAAAATGTTCAGCATGGTCTTAAATCTTCCCCTCTCGGGATTCCCCTCTTTAGTCCCGCAAGAAAAAAACTTCTCTTTGCCATACGATAAATCCTTTGTTGACCAGGTTTGCACCATGCTTTTGAGCTTTAATTGATATCGACGTAAAATGTATAGAATTAGGTCAATATCTAGTTATCTTGACCTCACTCCTGGGCAAAACTCCGCATATTATATTTTTTTTCCTCAGTTATGCGCAATAAAACTTATGAAAGTGAGACCTCCAATATCCTCCGAAATTAAAAATGTACACTTTTCCCAGTTTTCCTACATTTCGTTATACCTGGGATCCACTGCATAAAATCAGTCTTAAGGCCGGCCAGTATGAAAAACAAAAAACCTTTAACGTGTAAGTAATTTTTAAGTGCATTATTGAGTGTGTAAAAGAAAGTCTTAAATGCTACTGTTGATTTTACTGTGGCACCTTTTACCACCTTGAACAATCGGATTCATTAGATTTTGAGGCAAGAAAGATCACCATAGAACTAATTCGATCAAGTGAAACATTTGGCATAAATTGGATAAGTTACTTATGTCGTTATACTGATTTCGTTAACGTTTGAGTTGCTTAAATTGGCCGAGCAAAGAAACAAGTGGAAACAAGCTATGTAAGTGAATTCTTTACTTTGCAGCATTTATATCATTTCATTTCTATTAATCTATTTTAAAACTTACTTTGTTAATTCTATAGAAAACAGTTCTTACTCCTTTACTGTAGTACCCCTTTCTTACAATAACTACTAAACTCATAGGACAGGTTAATGATTACAGAGTTTAACGCCGTTAAAAAAAAAAAAAATCCAAACCGCATTCAACCATTTTGAATTTGGCCATGCGTCAATCACATCTGAGCATTATTTGCCGTCAACAGCGTCAAGAAACCTTGCAGCCAAGATAAACAAATTCCTAACAAAACATTTGGAGGCGAACTGAGACTGGCCTAAACCACAGACTTAGTTAGACTTCGTAAAATAAACGGCCCGTGCGGATCGGTCTCTCAAGGGGGCTTTTCCCATGGGGAGGAAAATGTTTATTGCGAGCACAGGTTGATCATGAATGCCGTGAATTTACAATGTGCCCACAGCCAGACAAAGTAATTCACCGTAACGTTTGTGGCTCCGTGAACTTACTTAGATTCTTGCAAAATATGAATTTAAGGAGAGTATGAGAGCACCCTGATATTTTTAGAAGGCCATTTTTCAGTTCCTACTTCAATCTTAAATCGCCTGAACTCATTGGACAAGCATAGGCATTCATTTGGTGCGCTTCAATTTGCAAAAAAAGGCCTTGAGAGGTTTTGATATTCAACGTACAAGTTGACTCCATATATTGAGAACGGAAAATATTACTCTTACGTGATCCGTTCGACATAAGGAAGATTTAGAAGAACCACTTCCCTTTTAACTCATCACTTTAGTCAAAAAACATCAAGGTTTATCAAGGTTATATTATTCGTGGTATTTACTACTTTGTCTTTTTTTAAGATACTCGGATTGAATCTCCACCCTTTTGGTTACATAATATACTCGGGCAATGAAGGGGAATAATGGAATAAGGATAATACGGAAATTTTCGAGTTTGAATAATGGAATAATGCTCTTTGTGAAGGGGAGGTAAAATAATGGGAAATGAGGAAAAATTTTCGATTTGGCTTAACAGAATAATGACCCTCTTGAGGGTGCCGGAATACTGATTTTCGAGAAGTAATAATTCACGGGGTGAAGAGGAAAGCTTACTAACATTTATTAACTGCTCCTGCTTAAATATTTTCGTTTTCCATTATTTCAGTCCCAACAAATTATAATCTATTTATTCCGGACGAAAGAAATCATTATTCCAGGTTCTTTCCCTTCTCTCTTTCCCTCTTTTCTTTCTTTCTTTCCTTCTTTTGGTTCGTTTCAGTTTTTTTTTTTAACTCTCCCCCAGCGCTATCCATTTTTCGCAAAAGAGAAATAATTATTCTCTCTTCGTTTGCGCCATTGCCTAAACGCTTGGAAACTCTGAAACAAGATAGCAGATACACGGAAAAGAAAGAAAAGCACAAATTCAATCAAATTTTAATGTCTGTAATCATGAGCAGTGTCTCAACTTGAAAAAGAAAATTTTCTATGTTTTTTCCGTTTGGTAAAAGAAACAAACATGTTCGTTTCTAGTGATATAAAGAACAAAGACCAATATTTGAGCAGAGCCTGATACGAATCTTCAGGGTCGGCCAGGGTTTTTGGGTATACGGTATACAGGGGCTTTTTAAATCGGGTATAAGGTATATTGCAGCTTAACTACGGGTATTCGGTATATCACTTTCTTTGAATTTCAGGTATAAAGTATACCTGGGTATAATTTTGGGTATATTTGGATGAATTTTGGGTATTTTGGCGAATTTTTTTTAGGTATACTGGTATACCACTACCCCCCCTGGCTGACCCTGAATCTTGCTCTTTCATGCATCATTGGCCTTGAATTTGTAATAATGGCACATCGAAGATCTACTTTACTACAAGAATGTTTTTATTTTCGGACCCTGTTTGTGAACGAACTATTTTGCAAGTAATGTACGAGAATGGAACAAGACATTTTAATTCGTTTTTTTTTTTCACCAAAAAAGATTAAAAAAATCGTGCCAATTCGGTAAAACTTCCATGATAATTTTATTCTTGTCATTTAATTCAGTTTGTGAACTTCATGTATTAACTGAAAATCACACCGTGAAAAAAAAGAAATGACATAAAAAAATAACAAGCGTACATTTCTATACAGTAAGATACTTATTTGCTCCAGTACCTCTGTTTACAGAAAAAAAACAGTCGTTTATTTTTTTCCAGTCAATTATCGTGAAAACTGCTATTTACAGTGGAACCTCAGTGTCAAGGGATTAGAGAAATATTTTCGCTATTTCGTTCGTACGTTCATACCAGCAATTAGCAATTAGTCAATGGT